GTTTTGGGCACAATAATGACTATTACAACTATTTGTTCATTTTAAAGCATAAGTTTGTTACTATATGTTAAGATTCTCTGACTAATTCATGGATTTTGTTTAGTCTGCATATCAAATGACTCATTTTGCGGTTTCCCTACTATGAATACAAAATTAAATTTATAATTGAATTGTAAAATCTAATTGAATTTTCATTTTAATTTTCATTTATAAGAGATTTAATTCGATATTTAGGATATTATTTCAGTGAACTTTTGTGAAAGACATTTATATCAAGACATGAATTCTTTAACAAATGTTTTGTTCATTTTTCACTAATTTGTTGGTTTATTCATAAAATTCAGTTTACATTATATTTTATGGTATTTTAATGATGTGTTGACTATATTTTCAAACGTTTACACTTAACGAGAATTTAGTGATTCAAGTGAACAAACAGTCCTTTTTTCTCATTTACTATATATTCTGTCAAATATTAGTTTATTTAGTTTTCAATCATTTTTCTTATGTCAATAAATTCTCGTAATAAGTATTTATTAGTTTTCATTTCTGACAAATATATATAAATATATGATTTAAAGCATTATATATTACAATAATATTTATGAAAAGCACTAAATGAAACTAAAACTTAACAATTAATATGTATTTGTGTTATTGTTTCGATAGGAAGTGGGATCTATTATCGGGAAAAAAGGAGATAATATCAAGAAGTTTCGCGAAGAGGTATGTATTGATGGGTAAAAGAATTGTGAATCACAGATATTATTGTGGTTTTTGTGGTGACAGAGTGGCGCCAAAATCAACATTTCCGACGGCTCGTGTCCCGAGCGTATTGTCACAGTTACCGGTTCTACGGAGGCTATACTTAAGGCCTTCTCACTCATCGCCAGAAAATTTGAAGAAGTATTCAATGAATTTGACCGTTAATTACAAACCAATCGTTTATTAATTGTTTTGATTTATTGAGAAGGATGTCCAGTGCACGGGTGGTCCCGGAGCCCCCATCGGTAACAAACCTCACGTCACCCTAAGGCTGATAGTGCCGGCGAGTCAGTGCGGGTCACTCATCGGCAAAGGCGGCGCCAAAATTAAAGAAATCCGAGAAGTATTTGACTTGAATTGAATGCAATTCCTATGCGTTGAATATAAATGACTGATATATTGGTTGCTATGAATTTGTTTGACAGATAACTGGGGCCACAATCCAAGTGGCGTCCGAAATGTTGCCCAACTCTACGGAGAGGGCGGTCACAGTATCGGGCAGTTCCGACTCAATAACAAAATGCATTTATCAGATATGCTGTGTTATGATGGAGGTTAGTCTCGATGGCTATTTACCACTTTCTTTTATATCCATTTCCAATGCGTTTAGCGTTTGTTTTATTGAATTAACACTCAATTTGATTTGTATATTAATTTCGCATTAAATTCATAATATATGTGAATTTAACGGCAAATATATTACTTGTATTTATATTTGTTAAACAATATATGGGTTTTTGAAAGTTGATATACACAGTGAGAAAAGAGTGGCAAACAGTTAGTCTATGAGTGCAATCTTTCTCTCTTAGACTACAATATAATTGGATTTTCGTAAGACTTGCATACTTTGGGAAGTGTTAGACAAACAAATGGCGAATACAGTTATGCTTAGGAGAAGAGAAACGGTGTCTTTATTGACATTATCTGTGATTACAGTAGGAATCGACTCATGAATGTGTGTATAAACTGTTGTATTGATTCACTATTTTCTCATTTGAAACATTCACTCAAAGAATTATTAGTTTAGACGACATTTTAATTGTCTTTTTTGATGAAATGTTGATATAATGTTAGCATTAATGTCATCAACTCTT